ATTAAGTCGTAAAAATATTGTGATGCTTTTGTATTATAAATATAAATGGCATTTATATTTGAAATATAAATGCATCATAATAATTTATAGATAAAATTAATAGATAATAATAATAATCATAGATATTAACACAAATATTACTTGTGTTAATATCTATGATTATTGTTAACTTTATTATAGTATATACAATTTATATACATGAATTTTATATATTATAATAAAATTCTATATCAATCTGACAATATATGAATCATAATAATATTACACTATTTCTAATATTTAGTTATTTTAACTTTACGCCAAAGTTAAGGCAGCTAATAGCTAACGTAACTTTTCTTGCTTAAATTGAGCTGAGCAAGTTCATAAAAAGTTTGGTGAATACCATTTCAGCTTGGTGAATACCAATTTTTTAGCACAGTAGTTACGAAAAAACTTACGTAAGTTTTGTTTAACGCAACTGCGCAAGTTTCGTGAATACGGATTTCACTGTTTTGAACTTACGCCAAACTTACGCAAAAAAAAAGTTTGCTGAATACGCTCCCTGGTTAGTTAGATTTTTTCCACTGAAATATTGTCTGATTGCGTGCTATATAGAATAATTAAAGTGCAGCAGATTAACTGTCATCAGGGCACTAGACTAAAAAATGTCTGCTAGTGTTTAAAACAACTGTGTTTATATCATTTTGTTAAAATTTGTATTCATAATTTTAATACTATTATTTAACTCAATTTAGAATTTGTTCAAACAGAATAAAAAGGTTTACAAGTATAAATATTATTTTTATTTGGAATTTCAGTTTGACAACAAATGTATTAATATTTTGATAGTACCTAACCTTAGTAACCTATTACAGAAAACTAGCATGGTAGTCTGGTAGTGTATTGTTTGTTATTAAGTGCAGATAATAATAATTTCTAATTTGAAAATATTTATTTAATTTCTTTAGTAATAATTATTATTATATATTGCTGCAGCTGCATAAACCAACAACTGAATGATAAGTTTGTATAATATGGTATTGAGTTTTGATTTTCTCATAATTTTTCAGTTATCATTGAAATGGCAGCATCATCTCGTGTTGCTATCTCTACACGACTTCAAACCGAAATCTTTTTAATTGGACAACCAGAGCCAAATCTTCCAGATAAAGTTCTTCCCTTAACATCTGATGTTTTAAAAACATTTTTTTATCATCTTAATTCAACCAAAAAGTCAGTGCCTGAAAGTCTTAAAACAACTGTTGATGAACTGATTATTATTTGTAATAAAGCCCGTATTCCGACAGCATTTCATCCGAATGTAGTCTTAAAGTTGAAAACTTTAGTCCAGGAATTTAAATTAATAAAAAAAAATAAATCCAGATTGTCAGATTCTCAGAAATCAAGAGAGAAATCATTTACAGACACCATTGGCCTACTTTTTGACATTGCCCACAAGGATGCTGAAACCATGATCAGAATTGAAGAAGATAAAGAATTTTTATTGGATCAGAGATGTCAGAGAAAAATGGTGATGTTTGGAGAGGACAAAGAACTTTCAAAATTAGAAGCAAGAAATGAAGCAAGGAAACAAGCAGAGAGAGAACGAAAGCTAAAAGAAGAGCAAAGACAATCTGGTGCGAGTGCAATAGTTCCTGTTATTGAACCTTTACATGACAAAAGTTATAGTGATGACAACGATAACGATGCTGTTGATAATGACAAAATGGTTGATAGAGATTTTGAGATAGAAATCCCTGTTTATTACAGACAACAAGTCAGTAAAGCAAGTTCTTCAGGGTCAGCTGAATCAAGTTTAGCAAGTACTCCAAAACGACAATGTATCTTAGATACAATTCTTGACTCGCCTGATGTTTCATCAACATTAGACAGAATTAATCTATCTGACACAAAATTTACTATACTAGCAGCAGCAATTGCAAGGGCTGGTGGACAGAACCTCGATGATGGATCATTGTCACGTTCTACAGTCCGTAGAAAACGAACCTATCATCGATCAAACATTGAAGCCACTGTTCGAACTGAATTCTGCGATTTGGACAAACCACCATTAATCGTCCACTGGGATGGCAAACTGATGATAGATCGTACAAATTCTGCAGACCCTAAAGCAAATGTTGACCGGCTATCTGTAGGTGTGACAGGTCGCAATGTTGACAAAATACTTGGAATAGCAAAACTATCAGCTGGAACTGGAGAAGCCCAAGCAAAAGCAGTTATTCATCTGCTTAATTTCTGGGACATAATTGGTGATGTTATTGGAATGAGTTTTGATACTACAGCCTCTAACACTGGCTCCGAAAATGGTGCATGTGTAGTTCTAGAGAAACATATAGGTAGAAATTTGTTATATTTTGCTTGCAGACACCATGTTCATGAGATCATAGTAGCAGGAGTGTTTGGATCACTATTTGGACCATCATCTGGTCCCAACATACCTCTTTTCTTTTTGGGCAATATTGGCCCAAAGTTAATCAAGGAAATTTTAAACCTCTGGATGACATTTGAATGAAAATACCCCTGGTGCAAGAACTACAAAATGAAGTGATGGCATTCCTCAAAGAAAACCTGCATGTTAAAATGCCAAGGGATGACTACAAAGAAATCATGGATCTCTGTCTGTTAATACTTGGAAAACTGCCTGATCAAGAAGAGAAAAATTATAATTTCAAGATCCCTGGTGCTTATCACATGGCTCGCTGGATGGCCAAGGTTATTTATTGTTTTAAGATTTATTTATTTCGTGAAGAGTTCAAGTTGACCACAAAAGAGGAAAAAAATCTCTGTGAATTTTGCTTATTTGCTAGTCTGATATCATGCCCAAATGCCAGCGATGCTCCAGTTAATGACTTGTTTCTGTTTCAGCAACTTAAGCAGTTTGCAGTTGTGAATAAAACGATTTCCGAAGCAGCAGTCAAGAAATTTCAAAACCATTTGTGGTACCTTTCACCAGAATTGGTCCCACTAGCTTTGTTTTCAAACAAACTTAAAACGGAAGAGAAGCGAAAAATGATTTCCAACATGAAATTTCACGGTGAGAACTGGTCTGAAAGGTTGATCAAATTAAAGAACATTGAAAGTCTAGAGAAGAAATCTCTGGACATGCTGGTGACATCAGTTTCAGCAAGTGCGTTGCGGTCAATGAAGGTTGATATTTATTTTCTGTTCAATAACGATCCAGCTACCTGGAATGATTCCCCAGAATACCAAGAAGGAAAAAATTTAGTATATTCATTGAAAGTAGTAAATGATGCTGCCGAACGATCTGTGGCTTTAATGTCGATGTTTAATGAATCGATTACAAAGAATGAATCTGAAATGCAGAGGTTAATTCAGGTGGTTGAGGATCACAGAAAGCGAGTGCCAGATGCCAGAAAGTGTACTCTGAAGAGTTATAGTCCTCGCTAGCATTAACATTGCACGAACTATAACATTACGATAATTAAATGTTAATTGCTCATATGTTTTTGAGTTGACCTACTTAGTAGTTGATAACGGTTTGAGAAACTGTTACTCCTTTACAATAATTTTTTTTGTTTATAATTCGTATTTTAATCAATGACAAAGAGTCAAAAATCTTAGTGTTTTATTTTGGAAAAATTCTGATATAACAAAAACCGCAGAACTTTAGTCGTATTGCAGTATTTTATTTCATTAATTTCTCTGCTAATAAACCAGTATAAAGTGGATGTGGATTGTAATTTGTATTCAGAATTTAATATTTAGAGATAATTAAAACTGATCAAATCTGAAAAATCTAATTAACCGGGTTTTAGAAATTTGTGGAACTTTGTTACTTTTTCCATGTTTTTCACATTTTTCGTAAAACTTTATGGTCATTGAGCACCCCTAAACATTATCTGATCGGAAAGATTTTTTGCACAGTTAATTAATATGTCAAATGGCACAAAATAAACAACTATGCATTCAAATCTGAAAAAAAAATTTTTTTTGGACAGCCCTAATATATATATATATATATATATATATATATATATATATATATATATATATATATATATATATATATATATATATATATATATATATATATATATATATATATATATATATATATATATATATATAAAACTTCAGGGTGTTCTAATAATTTGTTTATTCTGTTTAGCAATTTTACTTTCTTCCTTTTTATCTAAATTTTTGTTTTCATCATCAATTGGTGCTAGTAGCTTTCTTCTTTACTTGACTTCTCTCTTTCATCAAAAATTATTTTTTTAATTGACGCTGATCTGACAGAAAATCTAAAATCTGATCTGACAGAAAATCTGAACCTAAAATCTGACAGAAAATCTTGTTGATTTCAAAGGAGGTGTCTATTCTTTCCAAATTTTTGATTTGATGTTGCAATATCTAAGATAAAAGTTTTTTAGCAAAACTAATAAAATGTCAAATCGTTTTAACAGTTCTTTTTTGCCTTCCTCAATTAAGTTCTATCAAATGTATTTTAACTCTTATTTTTTAACCATTTTAACTCTTTTTTTCTTCTGTTTTGTTGGAATTTCGGCCATTTTCTAAAAAACAATCACTTTTTTACTAATTATATATTCAACTTTAGTTTATTTATTTTTTACTAAGGGGTCGTCCTTAAAGTACGTACGCTTTTTTTTCGTCGATCCACTGCACCTCACCCCCCCCCCCCCCCGCATTTTGCAATATGCTTTTTTGAGGACCCTTCACCTCCCTAAAAGTGCCTACGCTTTTAACTTATTAATCTAACATTTTGTAATGACTTTTTTAAATTTAGTGTCTCCTTTCTTTTATAATTGACCCACTACCCTCCCATCTCATATGCGCCATTTGCAAAACTCCTCTTTCCCTTTGTGCGTACGTACTTTATGGACGATCTCTAACTACAGATGTAACGGTTTGTTTGTTTTTTATTAATTTTACATTTTATAAATTTTTTTTTAACTTTCAATTTTTATAGATTTTAAAGTTTGACATTTGTAAATCGTTTTAATTTCTTTTTTTTTCTTCAGGGAATTTCTTGGCAAGCAAGTCAAAATCGAGTGAAAGCATTTAATTTATTTTTTTGTATATTTTGAATTGTATTTTTATTCGCAAAATCTAAAAAACGTTTAAAATGGTGATGTTTGTCATTTAAAAAATGGCGATGGTCACCATTTTAAACGTTTCATTTCAAGTAGAAAAAATCTGAAAATTCTTTTAATTGGAATGCAGTTTTTCTTTAGTTTTTTCGAAAATTCGATTAATATAGTTATTATAGATTTGTACTTTAAAGACTCGGTGTTCGGTTGAAGTTAAGAGGCCTGAAAGAAGTTAAGAGACTTTGCTCATAATTTTATATTGCTTGATAAGGTCTCCTCTTTCTCGTCGTTCAGTTTTAAGGTGGCAATATGTTTTGTGGCACGGTGTTGAACTTGCTCAAGTTTGGCTATGTGTTGTACTACAAATTCTAGGTGCGGGCGAGCGTGCGAAATATACAGTATGCTCTATAATGCAGAACTACGACGTCAAAAAGCCGTTTTGAGCCTGCAAAGCATTCAATTGCCAGCTGAAGTAGCCGCGCAGACTTGTTTTTTTAACTTTTAGATCGCTAGTCATAAAAACGTCTAGGTCTTGTTCAGATGACGTGCATGATAGCTGGTGCAGTTGGCATACCAAGTTATTCATAGTATAAATTGCAATCGATTTTTATTGTTGCTGCACCCAGTGTGCATGACTTTGCGCTTGTCAATGTTAAATGACATAAATGTGTGCTACCACTTCACTGCTTCATTGATGTCGACTTGGAGTTTTATGATGTCATGGTTTGATTCGATAACTCCAATTATTTTACAGTCATCTGCATACATTTTAAAGTGGTGTTGCATTTTGTCTGGCAAATCGTTAATATAAATAAGGAAAAGGAGTAGTCCAAGAACAGATTCTTGTGGCACACCGCTAGAGACTGTTTTCAAATCAGATTTATTGTTAGCCAGCACTTGATCTATTTGTGTCTGATATCGGTTGAAAATGTGATATCGGTTGGATAACTTGTTCCAAGTTTTAAATAGGTTTGTGACGCAACCCTTTCCCTTTAAGAACCCGTGTTGAGCAGAACTGATGAATTTATTTTTGTTTAAGTGGTCAGTAATGTGTCTGTGTACAAGACTTTCCATTACCTTGCAGGAGACAGAAATGCGTGAGGTCGATAGTTTGTGAGGTTTGACGTGAAGCTTTTTTTTTTTAAGATAGGAGTAAATTCGGCTTTCTTTTATTGAGACGGTACTTCGCCGGCATTAAGCGACTCAGAGAATATAATGCTTTGTGGGTTAGCAAAGCATGCAGCGCAGGATTTCAGGACGCGTGGGTAAATGCTGTCGAAGCCCATTGATTTGATTTTATTTAGGTCCGAAAGTTTTTCATTGACGGATTTGTATGGTGCGAGTGTGTTCAGTTAGTTTATGCTTGTGGAACGAGGGTTGGACTCTAGCAGCTCGATTTCAAAAAAAAAAAAAAACTGATTGAAAATACTCGTTTAGTGTGTTGTATATTATGATCTGTTGTAGTTTGATTATTAGTTGTTTCAAGTTGACGGATGCGGTCGTGTGTTTCTTATTTGCTTTTGACGTACGAGTAGATGATTTTTGGGTCATAGTAGTGACCTTTCCTAATTGGAATTTTTGGGATGCGTCACTTATCTTTTATTCATTTAGTCGTAAAAACGAAAAGGTTTATTTTTTTTTCCAGTTATGTTGATTTTATTTTATCCTGAGTGAAAGTTGTGGGAAGAAGCACGCAGTCGATCGGCGTAAACGGTCAATCAAAACGTTTGTTTTTGATCACACTCTGCTTTTACAATACAATAAGTCACACGGATAGCAGTCACCTTGTTTAGGACCTTCCTGTTTATACAGTATCTCAAAAATATTAATGCTAAGAGCACAATGGAATAGCATTAATTAACATTAGTGCTTTTGCGGCTCGTAAAAGCACTAATGTTGCTTTAACTTACTTTTACCGTATTATCGATGTTCTAGTTGACCAAAGCGGGTAAAATGCGGTAATAAATTACAGAAAAATTTCTCTTAAACCTAGCATTATCGTTGCACCAACCCAAACCCTTAGCCAATGTAGCAACACTCTTTTGCAGGTTCTCCCTAAATTAGGTTAATGTTAGTACTGAAGCCTCTAACCCTATTTCTCCATTTTATCTAAAGGTTTATGATGCCCAATTTGAGTATGCATAAACCTTTGGATAAAATTGATAAAATTGGCACTCAAACCACAGTAAAACGGCTGACTAAATAATAAGGTTAAAATAGAATATTAAATGAAAAGTTTTTATAAAACGTATACTTGGCAATAACATACGTGTGCTAAACACTTATACTAAAATAAAAAACACGTATATTAAAATAAGAGATAAGTTTAGTCAAATTTGTTTCTTGTAAACATTTTATAAAACATTTATAAACTTTTAAAATATAACTATTAATATATTACAGTAAAAATATAAAAATATATCGAAATTCAGTTTATTTTTTTAAAAAAATCTCCTTCCAAATAAGTTATATTAATTTAACGCGATAATTAGATTTTTTTAATAATACGTAACTTAATGCGTTAGTCAGTCAGGCAAGGCATAAATGCAATCATGCGTAATTCAAGTCCAAAGCGTAAGTTCAAAGTCAGAACACAATACACAATTTAATGCCTTAGTAATGCCGTCAGAACAGATGCGCAATACGCAATTTAAGCGTTGAAAATTGTTAAAAATCTTGGTAAAAATCGCTTCTTTTTTTTTTGCCATTAAAAATTTTTTTGAATATTGCAAAATTTAGCAAAAACGCGTTTTTCCGTACAAACCTTCCGTACAAACTTTTTACTTCTAGATTTTAACTTAAAAAAAAGAACGCAAAATCGCAGTGTAATTAGTTCAAACCACGATTAGTGGGATTTCTTAACTTCGCCAAGCCGTATTATCTTTCTTTTAGTTGTGATGATTGATGGCATAACTGGTCGTTTTAAAGGGACTTCTGCTTCACCTTTCACCACGTCATTTGAATTCTGAAAACAAAGCCATTTACTTACACTTTAAAATACTGTTTTAATTGAAAAAACAAAATAAAGTTATCTAAAATAGCTAATTAAGTTTGTAAAAACTTTAATATTTATTTTATATAAATACTATAAATATGATGCTTTGTATCATGCTCATAATACTATTTCTTATTTTATCGGTTATACATGTAAAGCTTCCGCATTTGTTTGTATTTTTTGTATCAATCGTAAAAATCGTAAAAACTACTTAAATTTTACCCTTTCGCGACTGAGTTAAAAACAGCTACTACATGACTGCGCGTAAAATAACGAACTAGGATCATGATCAATTAAAAGAAATTAAAATAAAAACTGCTCGTCAGAATTTTACAAATAAGACCTTGTTTTTTTTTTCAAAGAATTGGCTTTCAGAATATCAAAAAACTTTTTATTTTATTTATAATAAAAATTTTATTTATTTATTTTATTTATATATTATTTATATATATATATATATATATATATATATATATATATATATATATATATATATATATATATATATATATATATATATATATATATATATATATATAATATATATATAATATATATATATATATATATATATATATATTATATATATATATATATATATATATATATATATATATATATATTATATATATATATATATATATATATATATATATATATATATATATATATATATATATTTTATTTATAATAAAAATTTTTATTTTATTTTAGTAATGTGATCAAATTATATCATATTGAAATTAACAAAATTATAAAGTTTCTTTATTAACCTAAAACAAATAAAAAAGAAATACATAAACATCGTTTTCGATATTAAATAAATATGGCATTTATAGTGGTGTTCAAAAAAAAAAAAATCTCCACTACTATCATTGAAAAAAATGTCATTTTTATATCATTGAAAAAAAGAATCTCATTTATTATCAGTATAATTTAATCTATTTTTAGTCATTTTTTAAAATTGTTTTATGAGCGATCTTTAAGTGCATTTAACAAACGGTTTGAAACATTAACTCAGGAAATTATTCACATTTCAAAGATAAGTTTAAATTTTTTCCCAATTGCTATAGATGTTTTGAAATATTCAAAATTGTTTATGAACCGCCATGCGGGTCACTCGTCATTTAGAAACAAATTTTATGAACCGCTATATGGGTTTCTAGAACGTTACTTTACCTCATAATTTCAATTTTTTTTTAAAATATATAAACACTGGTAAAGAAATTGCCGATCAAAGACAACATAAAAATTTTGAAAATAAAGATTTCCATATTTTAAATTTTTAATGCAAAAAAAAAAAAAAGCAGAGAAAACTAGCAAATTTTTTTCAAAAACGTCATTTTCATTTTTATCTTTTTTTTAAAACTTTTAATACCTTGCCTAATATACAAAAAAAAAAAGCAACTGCACATTTAAATTTCACACTATTACCTTGTCGGCATTTAGATGAAAAAATCAGTATTGATAGAGAAGACTTGTAGGCTCCAACACTGTTAACAGCAATAAGAAATTAGTAGATATTTAGAAAAATGAGATACTAAGAGTAGAAATTAATAAAAAGCACTTTCCAGAATGTAGGAAACAAACAATATTCTAAAAACGAGACTCCTTAAATGAAGGAAAGCAACTTGTGAAAATAGATATTTCTAAGCACTTTGTTTAAAAGCAAATTGTTTCGAGAGAAAAATTCTGGAGACGAAACTATTAAAAATATGTTTCTAGATCATAATAGATAACAACATGCAAAATAATTTCTGTAGATAAAAACATGCAAAATAATTTGTTTAGATAAAAACATGCAAAATAATTTCTGTAGATAACAACATGCTAAATAATTTCTGTAGATAAAAACGTGCTAAATCCTGTAGATAAAAACTTAGAGACAATTATAATTAAAAGTTTAACAAAAAATGTTCAGCAAAAATATTTAGCATAAATTTAACATGAACATAGAACAATCAAAACTTTGAATAATGCAACAAAAAGTTAACTTACAAACTAACTTGCAAACTTAACTTACGCACCCAAAAAAACTTTAACTTTACTAAGTTATTAAACACAAATAAATATCATTAATTAATATAATAAAAAACAACAAACCTGATCATTAACCAAGATATCAAATGAGTTACTTCTACCTCTCTGCGCAACCTCAAACAATAAATTATCAAGACCAGATAAATCTATGCTACTAGAGCTACTTGTCGCTGAGTTATTCTTGGGGGAATCCAATAATTTGGAAGAAAAGTTTGTATTTTTTGAAGTATCACAATTTTTTGTCTTATCTTTAACCAAATCTTCAAGTTGCTCTAACTGTTCATACATATCTTCTTCCAGACCATGCTTTGTACTATCATCTTTATTATTAAAGCCAGTAGCTAGTCTTTCTCGTGACAAATCTTTAAGATTATATTGAACATTTTTTTTAGGGTTACCGAGCAGAGTTGAAATTATTGAATGATCATGATTTTCTTCATTAGATGAATTTGGACTATGAGAAGCAGAATTGCTATTTGAGTTCCTTTTATATGTTTCATCTTTCTGTTTTAATTGCTCTTCGTGTTCCTGTAATATATTATAAAATTCTTCAGTAGTCACAGTTAGTTCTTTTGATGGCTCAAAACTAGACTTATCTGTACTTTTTATATCTCTATCTAATGAGCTGATGTTAAAGTTTTTAAAAACAAAAAGATTGTCGCGATCGTCACGTTTACGCGAGTTCGTTTCATTTTTTGAATATACTCTTTTAATTTTTTCAGAAACCATTGCAGCAAGGTTAGCCTCGAGCAATTCAACTTCTGCAATTAGTGCATTAACACTGCTTTCTTTTTCAAGAACCAAAGCCTGCAGTTCTCTGATCTTTTCGTCTTTTTCTTTAATTTCTTCTGTTAGTGGAGAAAGTGCATTCCCAATCAGCAACTCTTCATCTAAACGATCGCTTTGAAAAGAAAGTCGTTTTAAAGAAGAGCGCATTGTTGAATTTTCTCCAAATAAATCTGAATATATTTCCAACTTTTGCTCCAGTCTTTTGACCTTAAAAATATTTAAAAAAAAAATGATAAAAAAGCACTTTCTCTTTTAAATTTATCCATAGCTGTATGGTTTAGACAGTTTTCTATAATACTAATTTCTTATTTATATGTGAAATTATGAGTTAAAGCAGTTTATTATAAATGGATGACACCTGTTTTGTAGATCAGGACTGATTTTTGTTATTGTGATACCACAACTAGGAATAAAAAGTTCACAAACTCAAACTATGTTGCTTACAATTAAGTCGGAGGTTATAGGCCAGAGTTTTCTACTCCTATGAAATTTGCCTTTATCATAAATAAGAATGTCCCATTGGGGCCATTGTCCTACCTAATCTCTTTATATTTTTAAAAAAATATTTTAAAAATAAACACATAAAAAAAAAATAATAATCTGAAATATAAATACATCATTTTGTAGATCATGATTAGATATATTCAGCTGTTGCATCTCTTTTTCTATTCTCTGATTTCTTTCTTCAAGTTGACATATTGTATCAGCCATTTTGTCAAGTTTACATTGCATTGTTTCATTTTGATCAGAGTACCATTGCGTTGTCGCTTTTTCTTTGCTAATTTCACGCTCAAGAAGTTCAACAAGTTCTTCTACATCCCTGAATTGACGAATCTTTTCCTTTATTAATATAAAAAAATATCACATTTGCTGGAATATAATAACTTGATATAAAAAAATATCACATTTGCTGGAATATAATAACTTGATATAAAAAAATATCACATTTGCTGGAATATAATAACTTGATATAAAAAAATATCACATATGCTGAAATATAATAACTTGATATAAAAAAATATCACATTTGCTGGAATATAATAACTTGATATAAAATTTCATTTTTAAGATCAAAATTAAATAACTTGTAGTTCCCTTTTTTTAAGATTTGAAAAGAATTTTATAATTATAATTAACTAGTTAATTAACTAACTTGAAGTTCTCTATTTTTAAGATAAGATAATAAACTAACTTGTAGTTCTTTATTTTGTTTTTTTAACTCCTCTAAAGTATTATCTGTAGAACTTCCTTCATTACAGTTTCGAAGAGCTTCACGCCCAAGAATATGGTTAGCTTCTTCAAGTCCTTTTAGGCGTTGTGTACATTGCTCCAGTTTTCCATTTAAATTTTTAATTGTTGATTCAAGAAGAAGATTAGTCTTTTCTAACTCTCGAAGAAATTCTTGTTGCTTGCAATTTTCCAAATTAACTTCATCAAAACGTGTTTGCAATAAAACATTTTCTTGTTCAAGTGCATCTAATCTATCATTATCTTGTGAAGGAGCTCCCGAATCACGCTCCATAGAATCTTGCAAATTTTGTATTTCAATATCTTTTTCCACTATCTAAAATTATTTAAAATCGAAAAAACAATTATATAAAACCTAAAAACATTGTTAAAAAAAAAAAAAAAATTCAAACAATAACTTAAAGAAATAATAACCTTTTTTTCCAATGATTTGACTTTTGCTTCAAGATACCCTTTGTTTCCTTCAATCATAGACAATTTGGCTTCAGTAGACTGCAATTTCAATCGCAACATCCGAGAACTATCTCCACATTCACAACAATCACCACCAGGAGCGGAACGAAAAGTATGCTTAAAATATTCTTCTTCCTCTTGATACTGAGTCAATTTGTATTCTGCATCTTGCTGCCTGGATGACATGCGAATTTTTTCTTTTTCACATTTTTTTAGTTTCCTATGTAGGATTTCTATTTTTTTTTCAAAATGTTTATTTTCTTGACGAAGTTTCATATTGCGTCCATCTAAGTCTGCAAGTTGTGTTTTATATTCATTATTTTGCTTTTCAGCAACATTCAAGTTTTCACAAAAATCTCGAATCTCTTTTAAAAAATTATCATTTTCTAGTTCAAGTTCTTTAACACGTGACTCAGTATGCACTAATCTCTCTTCAAGAGTGTTAATAAATATATTTTCACCAACACGCATATCAGTAGCTGGTTCATTTTTCAATTGATCATTCATTTTAATATCTGTTAACCTACGAACTTGCAACAATGTAAACTTTTCACCTGTCAAATCCGAAATTTCACGATTTTTGCGCAATACCTAAAATTATAAAGAATCAATAAATTTAATACCTAAATTAAAATGCAAATTATATATCATATATACTTTTTAATTAATGATGATATCAGTTGTATGTGTGCACGTGTATGTATGTATATATATGTATGTATTTACGTGTGTGAGTATATATATATATATATATATATATATATATATATATATATATATATATATATATATATATATATACACACACAAATATTTAGAATATAAGGTGGTCAACCACCAAATATTCTAAATGGTTCAAACTTATAAAAAAAAAGATAAATTTTATATCAATAAAAACTACATTAATTTTTGCTACTTTATTCATTTACTAATGCTATTTTACTTCATTTTACTTATCCTCAAATTTATCGAAAAATATTTATTTTAATTGGTCCATTCAAAACACAATAACTTGAAATATATTAATACAGCATCCATGAAATTTTATACATATGTTTTAGACATGTAAGGCAAGGCATGTACATTTGGATTTTAAGATTTTCAAAGTACATAAAAAATTATCAATTTTTTTACATTAAGTAAAAAAAACTTTTTTAAACCTTAAAATTAAAAAAAAAAGATTAACACAGAATTTAAAAAATTTAGAAATTCCCTAGAAAATAATATAATAAACATTTCCTGAAAATTTGAAGTGATTTGCGCTTCAGTTTCTCAAGATATCATGCTTACAATCAGGCAATGTTTCGCAAAATTTAAAAAAGGAAAAGAAGATTAAATAGTCATTCCTAAATAAATTTTTTTTAGTTAATTTAATGAAAAATTAAAAGATATGCAGGGAATTCACTTTTTTTTTCAATTTTCAGAAAATACTAGGTGATGTACCACCTTAATTTATATATGTTAGGTCGCAATTTCCTAATATTATTTTTGTGCTCTTAAGGCAAAAAAGTGCGCTTCAATTTTTTAGAAAAAGAAAAAAAAAAAAAGAATAATAAATAAAAAAAAAGATTGCTGCCACATGCCAAACCCTCAGTCTATGTAGCAGCACTCTGTTGCGAGTCAGGCTATTTTATGGTTGATGTATGTACTGAAGCCCTCACAACTTCATGTTTTTTTATGACAGCATCCATGTGCATCTAATGCTGCATTTGAATGATCAATGAAATCAAATTTCAATTTATACCAAAAATTAAGATACAGGAAATCATAAATGTCGTAACTACTGAAATATTTCACACATTTGTGAAACATGTTGACACTATTATAAAACATGTTGAAACTATTATAAAACATGTTGACACTATTATAAAACATGTTGACACTATTATAAAAAGAATTCTTTACAACTGTTTTACTTCAGCATTATTTTTATGATTGTTTTTAAAGCTTATTTTAAGATTATTGAGCTCACTAAATTTGATTTAAATTATATTTAAAGATTTTAATTATATTTTAGTTTATTAAAAAATTATTTTATAGATTTTTAAAAGAAAAATATTTTGATGCCTGCATTTAGAAATCAACTCCGATTTTTTATTTGATAAACATTCTTGGTTCGCATGTTTTATTATTTTAAACTTTTCTTGCAGACATAATGTGCATTTTCAGTAATATTATTATAGGCAGGTGCTGTTTTAAGGATGGACCAACTCAAAATAATTTTTTTTTATCAAACAATTCCCTTATGTATTTTGATAGCATAGTGTCTTTTGAATACTTTTAAATTTTAAAGGGCTGTTTATGATTGACAAAATGTTTTTTCCATTCACCTTTTTGTTTACAATTACAATTGTTCTGTAATTTTTTCATTTAGAATTTCTTTTTTGTTTAACAAAGCCTGAATGTGACCTTTAATAATTCTTTCCACATTTTTTGTGCAACTGTAGCTAACTTTGATTGTATTTCGATTAAAAATTTTATTCAATTTATTAGAGGTTAAGAAATGTTTATACACTAATTTTAAAAAACACTTTTTCTATATTAGTGGAAACATTTTTGCTGTATGTTACATTTGTACTGTATGTATGGGTTAAACCAAATCATGGTTCTAATTTTAATTTATTTTTTACATTCTTTTTTTCCAAGTCAAAATTTAATTCCCAATTTTAAAACCCAATTTTCTGAAGGGCATAATTGTAATTACGTTTAGAGGAATTGAATACATTTTTATCAGCGGAGTTATTTTTTTTAGCTTGTCATTAATTGAAATTAGAATTTGTTTTAGAATTTCAAGTGCATGTTTTGAGTTAGTATTAATATACAATAATTCATCATTTGGTTTTTTGAAAGGTTTACATCAATTTTCAAAGAGGTTAAATATGACATCAAGAAAATTCACAACTTTTAAATTGATGCTTATTTAAATTTTAAAACCAATATCTTAAAAACTTTTAAAATTTCTTATAATTTTATCGAGCTGTGAACCAGATTTTTTATGCATTACTATTAATTAATATCATCACAATAAAGAATTAATTCATTTATATTAATTCATTACTATTGATTTAATTAATTCATTACTATTATTTACCTAATTCATTAATATTGATTTTTTTTATTTTATTGTTATTCAACTCCCCAAGGCCAAAAAGACCACTACAGGATACGTTTTTTGAGCAAAAAAAGAAGTAAACAACTCTAAAGAATTCTTTTTATAACAGTGTCAACATATTCCACAAATGTGTAAAATATTAAAGTATAAAAATGGAATTACTGTAATTTAATTTTTGGTATAAATTGAAGTTTATCAAATTGATCATTCAAGAATATTGAGCACTTTATTTTGTAGGATACATTTAAAATTATTTGTTTATGTGCGTATGTATGCAGGGCTAAATTTAACAGTCAGACATCGGACATTGTCCGGCTAAAACCTCAGATTGTTCGATCATTTTATAAAGTAATCGGACAATTTGACCGACAGGAATTAAATTCTACAAAATAAAGCCATTTGACCGCCCAAATGATTGTTTTTGTTTACAACTTGACCACAACTGTTTAGATGTTTTGATGATTTAAAGGTTTTAGAAATGCGCTGAAAAAAGAAATGTTTAGCTAAAGGGTAATTCTATGTAAAAGTGGGACAAAAAATTAAAATTTTTCAGTCACCCTCTCAGATTTCTTTCAAATTTGAACCAGTGGTACCTATCAATATAACAAAAAAAATTGTAAAGTTTGAGCTTCCAAATCCAAACCGTTCAAAAGTTATGACATTTTGAAATTCAGCCTAAAACGTCCTATTTTTTTCCACTTCCGCCATTATGAACTTTGTAGTAGTACTTTTAATTGAATAATTTAAGATCTAGTGGAAGAATGTGGCTGAAAATCAGTACCTGACCATTTTTGAGGGTGCTGAATTCAAAAATGTAGATAAAATGGTGAAATTTAAATTTTTTGATAGTTATTTTTTCATTTTAAAATGGCCAGTCAAATTTTTTGTTTTGTAACCATGGGTTGCGCTTTCATTAATTCCCGAAGTTTTCCAAGTCTCATGGATTCGATTTTTTTTTCAAATGAAGTAGGTGATCCTAGGCTATCTTTATAAAAAAAATGGTTTTGGGTTCTTAAAGCATAGAAAAGATATTTCATTTTGAAATTTAGACAAAAAATTTCTTTATTTGGCATCTATTCTCTATTATAGATTTTATAGCGATACTTATTGTGTGAATAATTTAAGATCTAGTAGAGAAATATGACTGCAAATTGGTATCTGACCATTTTTAAAGGTGTTGAATACAAAGACGAAGAGAAATTAACCCAATTCCTAATATTCTAAAATAATATTTGAATTTTAAAATGGTATAATATTACCTAACCAAAAAACGGGGTAACATTTTCACAAATTGCCTGACTCTCATGGGTTCAATTGTGGTGTGTAAAAACAGTTTATTAAGGTTGATTTTGATATAGAAATAAAATTTTGTGAAGTGAATTATCATGAAAAATATAGTTTTGCAACACCTGCTGTGATGTGTAAATATAGTTTTGGGACGTCAGTTATGTGTCTAAATATAGTTTTAAAACAACAGTTAATAATAACAAATTTCAATAAAATAATTATTTTAATTTTAGATTAAATAATTATTAAATCTTGTTTGGTAATTCAGTTTCTTAGTCATGGCAAACAGTCAAAAGTGCTCTATTGGAATCAACCTAGAAAGTGAATGTCATCTTACAACATATACATCGTTGCTGGGAATCGAACCTTATGAAGATATTAAAGAGAAATATTAGTGTGGAGGACTGGGCTCTCAATAATAAATATCAAACCAACAACTTGTCTCCATCATAAACATGTTTATTTGAAGCGCTATACAACTAAATTAACACGGTGCTGCAATCCATTTAATACTCATAACAAAACTATAAAAGGTATTTATAGTAATCATGAATTTATAGTAAAACTTTTAGTTTTGTAGAAACGTTTTGAATTACAATAATGAAATTCTTGGCAGCAAAATTCTATTTTAGCTATATTTAACCTTTTAGCTGACTTCTGAAAGTGCACAATTAAATGCCATACAACTTTAAACTTTTGAAGGTTTATTAAAAATTTTATACATATTAAAAGAGTTCTTCCCTTTTTTTAGGTAGTCTTCGTGAAATCAACTTGGATACAGCAAAATACCTATGCAGTAAAGGCAAATTCGTAGTTCCAGGTGAAAAACTTTGTACACAATGCAGGCATAAATTAGCAAGTGAAGAATCAGAAGAGAACGAGTTGGAGATGAAATTACCTGAAGATAATATGGAAAAAGATCTTATACTGGAATCAACAAGATCGTTGCTCAACAGTACTTTATGCGAACTTGAAGTGTCTCCTTTAAAAGTTCATTTACCCAAAACCTCTAACAAGCCTTCACTTGGAAAGAGAAAGATAAAGCAAGTTGAAGAAGCAGTTATTAAGAAGCTTGCAACTGCTCTGGATATAACCGAATCCAATTTTGTTGCACCAAAAAATGAAGTTCTAAAGGAAATTCAAACCAAAGCTGGCGATCTAGACTTCCTTGTAGAATGCATGAAAGAAAAACTTAAGGTTTCTAATAGGAGACAGCAAATTCAAATTTTGACATTAACCCCAAAATCTTGGTCTATCAGAAAAGCAGCAAAAGAGTTTTCAGTTTCTAAACACAAAATTCAAAATGCAAAGTTTTTACGCGACCAAAAAGGCATCATAGCATACCCTGATGTGGTTGAACGGCATCGAATCGGTAAAGATGTTATAGAACTTGTAAAGCTTTTTTACTGTGACAATGAGTATTCAAGGCAAATGCCAGGTAAAAAAGACTGTGTAAGTGTTGGGGGGAAAAAAATACATGTCAAAAAAATTGATTTTGTGTAACTTAAAGGAGCTCTATGTGGCATATAAGACAAAGTACCCAGGCCATAAAACTGCAGTCTTCGACCTAAATGGTGCATCCTTGCTGGTCCAAAAAGTACACATTCTGTTTGTGTGTGTACAATACACCAAAATGTTAAATTAATGTTGAGTGCTATAGGCCTTGAACCATCTTACCATGAAATTATTGAAAAAATTGTCTGCAGCAGAAAATCTAAAGTTTGCATGATTCACCGATGCAATAGTTGTCCTGGCATACAACATGCCCAAAATTACTTCCAGCAGTATCTCGCACAAAATGATGATCCAAAAGAGCAATATGACAGTGATGAAAATGAACAGTCAGTGGATTTCAAACAGTGGACAACGACAGATAGAACTGAATTATTAACAATAAAACTTCCATTAAATGAATTCATAGAGCTTCTGTGTGAAAAACTTGATAATATCACTTCTCATTCATTTATAGCAAAATCACAATCTAGCTATTTAAAGCATCTCAAAGAAACAATTAGTATTGATGAGGCTATTGTACTGGCAGATTTTGCAGAGAATTACACGTTTGTAGTACAAGACGAGATTCAGAGTTACCATTGGAGGAAAAGTCAATGTTCCCTTCATCCAGTTGTCATCTACTACAATAAAGTGAAATTGGAAATATCTTCTTTGTGTGTAATTTCAGATGATTTAAATCATGATGTTGGATTTATCAATGAGGTTATGCATAAAACCATTAATCATATTAAAACTCATCTTTGTCCCACAATTAAAAAAATTCATTATTTTTCTGATGGCTGTGCAGGGCAGTATAAAAACTGCAAACATTTTTACAATTTATGTCACCACGCTCAAGATTTTTCTGTTTGTTGCATCTGGAATTTCTTTGCAACAAGCCATGGTAAATCTCCATGTGATGGAATAGGTGGCACTGTCAAAAGGCTTGTTGCAACAGCTAGCTTGCAGAGTCCAACCACAGGTCATATACTGTCTTCTCAAGCAATGTTTGAATACTGTAAAAAGTCAATCAGTGGGATTACGTTTGTGTATGTCTCTGCTGAAGAAATGGAGCTAGTAAGAAACAAACTTACAGATAGACTTTTAATAGCAACCACTATTCCTGGGACAAGAAGTTTCCATCAATTTATACCATCTTCTCATTCAATTATAAAAATGAAAAGGGTATCCAATGATGATCATTTTTCTCTAACATTTGACTTCCTCAAAAAACAAAAATATGAAATTATTAAAATTGACAATGTTTTGATGTCACAATATCTATTTTGCAAATATGACGATTTTTACTGGCTTGGTATGGTTTATGAAGTTGATAAAGAGAATGATGATTTTATGGTAAAATTTATGCATCCACATTACCCAAGTCGGTCATACCACTGGCCAAATCGGGATGATAATTGCTGGGTGCCAAGAATGAATGTTATTTGTCTTGTTAAAACACCTTCAACATCTTCTGGGCGTCAGTACCCAATCTCAAAAGAAGATGAAAATTTATTTGAACAAGTTTTATCTTTTCAGTGAAAGTTATTTAATATTTTACTTTCATTATTTAAATGATATGAACTTAAATTTTAGTAATATTTGGTTATTCCTTTTCATTTTTATTTTTGAGCTTTTTTCAATAAATCAGGTTTGTAATATTTTTCAAAAAAGTTTGCATTTTAGTTTCCTATTTTTTAACAAAACATTTGAGCTTGTAACCTTAAATTTGATTCATGCAACCAAGATTTTGAAATAATATCTAACTATTAGAATAATAATAAAAAAAAATTGTTCAATGTGTTGTATAGTAAATTATATTTCTATGTATACTTTTGAAAAAATAGATAAATATGCAAGTTATGCAAAGTAATATAATTTTTTATTTACTTTCACCTAAACTTTTATAAAACCTCTTCACAATGAGAGTAAGATCTCTTATTTCACAATGAGAGTAAGGCAACTCCAGAAATCAGTGAAATGCAAACTATGGTTAAAATAAAAAAAAAGGACTGTTGACATAATAAAATTAAAAAATTATTTTTAAATATTAAGAATTGGGTTAATTTTAAAAATGGTCAGATACCAATTTGCAGTCATATTTCTCTACTAGATCTTAAATTATTCACACAATAAGTATCGCTATAAAATCTATAATAGAGAATAGATGCCAAATAAAGAAATTTTTTGTCTAAATTTCAAAATGAAATAACTTTTCTATGCTTTAAGAACCCAAAACCATTTTTTTTTATAAAGATAGCCTAGGATCACCTACTTCATTTGAAAAAAAAATCGAATCCATGAGACTTGGGCAACTTCGACAATTAATGAAAGCGCAACCCATGGTTACAAAACAAAAAATTTGACTGGCCATTTTAAAATGAAAAAACAACTATCAAAACATTTATATTTCACTATTTTATTTACATTTTTGAATTCAGCACCCTCAAAAATGGTCAGGTACTGATTTTCAGCCACATTCTTCCACTAGATCTTAAATTATTCAATTAAAAGTACAACTACAAAATCCATAATGGCGGACTTCCTAAAAAAAGGAACGTTTTAGGCTAAATTTCAAAACATCATAACTTTTGAACCGTTTGGATTTGGGAGCTCAAATTTTGCATTTTTTTCCCTTAATAGTTACCACTGGTAAAAATTTTAAGAAAATCCAAGGGGTGACTGAAATGACTGTCCCAGTTTTACATGGAATGACCCTAAACTTAAATTAGGAAAAAAATCGAAAAAACTAAATTATAAGCAAAACAATTCCTTACAAAAAAGAAAATAAATTACCTTAAAAATAAAACTAAAAAAAATGTTATGTTTTTAATTGCATTTGAAAAAAATTACTTTAAAAATTATTTTTTAAAACCTTTAATTAAAGTTATGCAAAACTCTTTTACAAATTACTTCTATTGATTGTTTAATAAATAAACTTTATTTAAATTATTGAAAAGTGAAATTAAATTATTGAAAAGAAAAAATTATAACATTTTAAAATTGTATAAACATTTTTTTGTAAAAGTTGAAAAAAAAATGTTTAAAAAAATAACAGTCTTTTTAAAATATCAATTTATTTTTCATTTTATGCTTTAATTAGTAAGTCAAGTTTAAGAAAAAAACTTTTAACAATTCTTTGTAAAAATAGAAACAACAACAACAAAAAAAGCAAAATCATGGGAAGTTTTAATATAACTTATTTATAATTTAAAAAAAATCTTTTAAGAGATTTTTAGAAAGACAAATAAACGCTTAAATTAAATTATAAAAAAATATTTTATTGCATTTAAACCGTGATTTTTTATTGCATTTAAATTGTTAAAACATCGCAACAGTCAAATTGTAAAGAAAAAAAAAAAATAAGCGCTGCCAGTTACAATGTAAAAATTTAAGTCTATCTAAAAAAACATTAAATTGAAATTACTTTATTAAAAAACAAAAATCTGCGATGAAATAAATAATAAGGAAAGAAACTACAACTTCATTAGACTAATGTTAAATAAACTGAATAAAATGACAAAGATTTCGATTGCATAACTTGGTTCTGTAAAACCGTAAATATTTAATTTTAAAATTTTGATTGGACACTGTCTGACCAAAACAAGTTTTGACCAGACATTTTGTCCAGGACTTTATAAAATATTAAATTGAGCCCTGTGTATGTATGTATGTATGTATGTATGTATGTATGTATGTATGTATGTATGTATGTATGTATGTATGTATGTATGTATGTACGTATGCATCCCAACCAAATCCGATCAGATTATGTATGTATGTATGTATGTATGTACATGTGCATCCTAACCAAATCCGATCAGATCCACTAACTATTCTCAACCCTTCCTACCAAAGCTTCTTGGTTTCTTTTTATTTAGACTAATTTCATGTATCGAACTAATAAAAGTTTATTACAAAATGTTTATTACAAAATGTTAATACAAAAGTATTAATACTTTTTTTCTTTTTCATACACTATTTTATGTTTTATCTTATATTACAATTTATTTTTACTGTTTTTGTCTATGGTAAATTACACTTGTTTCTATATAATATATATAACATTGGCATATATGTATACAATTACAACATATAGGTATAGAACATAGTATATATATATATACAACATAGCATATATGTTTACAAGATAGTACAGGATAATATAAAAGTAAATTGCAGATCAACTCAAAAATAATTTCAACATGTTTAAAAATGGTAAACTAAAAACTTTCTTAATTGTGGTTAATAAATAAAAATAAATTACATCATTTTGTAGACTAGAGAGCTTGCGCTCGATCTTCTTCATTTGAAATTCTTTTTTTGCAAGTTGTGATTCCAAAGCAGATTTCAGCTGTTGTAGTTTAACATTGTCATCCTCTAGGTCTTCAATGTTACGATCCCTGCGCTTAATTTTTTGACGAAGATTATCACAATCTTTAGTCAACTTTGTCACTTTGTCTTGCTCCTTTAAAAGGTCTCCTTTTATAAAGAAAAAATAAATAATTGTAACCATGAAACATTGAAAAATAGGTTTTGATTTGCCTAATTTAAAAATAAATAATTTTTAACGATGTAAATAAGAGATTTATGAAAAAAAGAGAAAATAAGAGAACAACAAAAGTTATTTGTACTAAAACAAAACAACAAAAGTTATTTATACTAAAATGAATATTTTTATAGCGTTAAAAAAAATTATAAAGAAAATATGCATAGAAGGGTGTCCCAGAAGCATACCCCCCCCCCCAAGGATATTCACAAGTTTTCCCCATTTTAGAGGTTAAAAAAAAAGAGGTTAAAATGAACGAGAAAAAAAATATTAGTCAATAAGTGAAAAACTTTAATTTTAAGTTTCTTAGGAACTTTTTTTTTAAGTAAGCGATATCTGAAAAACTTTAATTTTGGATTAGTTTTAAAGGAACTTTTCTCTTTTTTTTTTTTTAATTAAACTAATTGATTATGCCCAAGTTATTTTATTAACTTCAAAAGTTGAATAATAAAATTATAAGTTATTATCAGCATGTTTTTATATTTATAAACATAACATTTTATATTTTTATATTTATATTTATAAACAAACATTTATAAAAATATTCATTTTTGAAACAGGGTTGTATAAATATTATATATATTAAAATAAATAAATATATTTGTAAACATAAACATTTATAAACATATTTATTTTTGAAACAGGATTGTATAAATAATATATATATATATATATATATATATATATATATATATATATATATAATATATAAAATATATATATATATATATATATATATATATATATATATATATAAAATATATATATATATATATATATATATATATATATATATATATATATATATATATAATATATATATATATATAATATAAATGAAAATATAAAAACAAATAAATATATTTATAAACATAAACATTTATTTTTGAAACAGGGTTGCACAAATAATATATATAATATAAATAAATATATAAAAATAAATAAATATAATTATAAACATTAAAAATTAAAAACAAACAGGGTATGCTTATGCAAACGTTTTGAGGCTCAAAAACATGCTTAAACTTACAAAAACGCAGGCTTTCTTTTATTTTTTGTAAGAAAGACAAAAAACTTTTTTCTGTTTTAATAAATACATATTTTTGTTTCGACCAAAAAAACAAAAACAAAAAAACATTTTCAATAAAAGATGCACCAAATAAGCATGAGGTATTAATAGAATTGTGTTTAAACAGAGTTTTCATTCAAAATTTAAAAAAATTCCACCACTTATTACTTCATAAGTTTTTACAGGATTTTGGTCCTGAAACTGATATCTTTTCCAGCATCGGTATTAAAAAAGTACTTAAATTCCAGCACTAATGATATTTTCGAAATGATACAAAAATTGTCTAAATGAAAACCGCTGAATGACGTTAGACAACATAAAGAATAAACATAAAAATATGTAACCTAAAAATATGTAACCTAAATACTAAATACTAAATAAACTTGTGCACTATGACTTGAAAAAACTGCAATAAATTAAGAAAACATTATAAATACTCGACACGAGAATTAAAAAAACATTATAAATACTCGACACGAGAATAAAAAAAACATTACAAATACTCGACACGAGAATTAAAAAAACATTATAAATACTCTACATGAGAATTAAAAAAACATTATAAATACTCGACATGAGAATTAAAAAAACATTATAAATACTCCACACGAGAATTAAAAAACATTATAAATACTCCACACGAGAATCAAAAAAATATTATAAATACTCCACACGAGAATTAAAAAAACATTATAAACACTCGACATGAGAATTAAAAAAACATTAACACTATAAATACTTGACACAGGAATTAAAAAAACATTAACACTATAAATACTCGACACGAGAATTAAAAAAACATTAACACTATAAATACTATACTCAACACCATTGAGAATTAAATATTCAGAAAAAAAGACAACAAAAGCAAGGACTTAAATAAAACTATTTTTAATCAATAAAATGAATTACTAAAACAAATTAAACTTAATGAAACTCTGAAAAGTCTGTCATAACAATGACTGAAGCACAAATTTAAGCAATTAGTTTATCAAGTTGTAATAAGCTTTTACCTCACTTTTATTTTTTAATGTTGGCACTATGTACATTTATCCTGCATTTGTATCTGTTTTTATATATATGCTTCAATATTATAAATAATATTGAAAACATAATAATGAGAAATTTATGAAACAACTTTGCTATTTTTGTTGGCATAAATTTGTTGTACAAAAACTTTCTGGTAAATTTGAGTTAATTTACCCTTTGTGTTTATATATACCCTTCTTAAAATTTAATTTGAGAAGGGTATATATGAACACAAGAAACATACTCATTATGAAGAATTATTTTGTCATAAAAAAATTGCTCATTATGAAGAATTATTCTGTCATAAGAACATTAGTCATTATAAAGAATTTTTCTGCCATCAGAACATATCTCAATATGAAAAATTATGCTGTCATTAGAACATTGCTCATTATGAAGAATTATTCTGTCATAAGAAAATTGCTCATTATGAAGAATTATTCTGTCACCAGAACATTGATCATTATAAAGAATTATTCTGTCATCAGAACATTGGTTATTATGAAGAATTATTCTATCATCAGAACATTGGTTATTATGAAGAATTATTCTGTCATAAGAACATTGCTCATTATGAAGAACGAGTAGTTCTTCATAATGAAGTTATCATCAGAACATTGGTATCTAATTTAAGAGCTTCACTATTTGATTCCAATCAATTAATATTCATAATGTTAAAACCAAATTTTGGACTTAAGATATTCTAGGTGGTCATATATCAAAACATCTTCATATTTATACCATATCTTTGTGAAGAAAGATGTGGAAAAAAAAAAAGAATTTTATTTTTTGATCTAACTTAGTTGCATAAGTTGTTTTTAAATAACGTTTTTCTAAAATTTGAAAAACAATTGTTTACAATAAACAAGTAAGGTAATATTTTATTTTATAAATTATCCCATTTCACAAAATTATCAATTTTATAAATTTCTTTAATGTTGTAATTTAATTTTAATTAATAAAAATGTAAAGACTTTTATAAACAATAACATATAACAGTGTTATATGTTATTGTTTATAAAAGTCTTTACATTTTTATTAATTAAAATTAAATTACAACATTAAAGAAATTTATAAAACTTCATTTTTTCAATGGGGTTCAAAACTTCATTTTTTCAATGGGGTGTTAAACACCCCATTGAAAAAATGAAGTTTTGAATGATTGACCTTGCAGAGCAAACAACCCTGTGCTTTTTTCCACTTAAAGAAAACTTGTTTCCTTTTGCTTTCTAACTGAAAAAAACCTGTTCTAAGAAAACTTAAAGATAACAATCAACTTAATTTTTTCTTTGTTTATTTTTAAAATTCTTTGTCTAACTTAAATACCTTTTAATTTTTTTTATTAAAAGGTTCATTGCAAACTTTCATACTTTGGTAAAAGCAAAATAATTTAATTGCTCAATATCAAAATTAAATTTTGGTTATTTTTATTATTTAAAATTATTTTATAAATTTACAATTATATTTTAGTAGTTACTAAATGTTTGTGAAGTTGTGTTATGTTATAAATGTTTGTGAAGTGTGTTACGTTATAAATGTGAAGTTGTGTTACGTTATAAATGTTTGTGAAGTTGTGTTACGTTGTAAATGTTTGTGAAGTTGTGTTGCGTTATAAATGTTTGTGAAGTTGTGTTAGGTTATGTTTGTGAAGTTGTGTTAGGTTATAAATGTTTGTGAAGTTGTGTTACGTGATAAATGTTTGTGAAGCTGTGTTACGTTATAATATATAAATATATATGTTTGTGTTCTTAACTTATATTACAAGTCCCAGCAGAAAGATTTTTTGATGTGTCAGATATGACACTTTGTCTATTACATTATGTAACATCCAAACTTAAGAATGTTTATGCCTATGGTTAATTAAAATGTTTTGCAAAAAATTGTACTGTATTGAGCCTGACAACAAAAATAACCAAAACATCTGCCTCATCTGCCCCAAATGTGAGGGCAATATGTTAATAAATATATTTTTAACTATCTTATATTAAAATGTTTATTCAATTAATGGATTTCAAATATCATTTAATAAACTTTTAGTATTTAAAAGTTATGACCATGTAAAGCTTCCATTGTTTGCGAATTGAGAGGGCTGTAAACTTTACATGGTCAGAACTTTTAAACATTAAAAGACTAGATGAAATTCATGAAAGTTTTATATCTGAAACATCAAAAACCCTTCTGAACTGGGCTTATTAAAAGATTAAAAATTCTAAAAAATTAATACTAAAGAATTGTGGTTAAAACTCAACAAAGCAAATTTTATGTGTATAACATAATATTTTTATAACAAAACGCATTAAAATGAGGCCTGACATATATTTTTTTATATTTTTTAACTTTGATTAATTATTTTATTTTTATCTGTTGAGAATTTTAGGCTGATTAGGAATTTCACTGTTTAAGCAATACCATCATGCTGGCGAGCACCTGTGTTTATGTAAAATTATATATATATATATATATATATATATATATATATATATATATATATATATATATATATATATATATATATATATATATATATATATATATATATATATATATATATATCAGGCTTTCCCAGGAAAGGCGTGCGGTCGCACGCCTTGTTTGTCCACGCATATAAGAAATTTTTTAGAGAACGTGACCGCGGCATTATTTCGTGGAAAGCGGAAATTATCCACAGAGAATAAAAAATAATTTTAAAAAAAGGAAACGAAGTCTAAACAAAGTATAAAATTGAAATTGGATGTAAGAAAAATATTTTGATAATAAAAAGAAATAATTAAAAAAAAAATAATTCTTGTAACAAAAAAAAGTCTTGAACATTTTTTTCAAAATTTTTATACTGTTTTTTTTTTTTTTAGGGTTGCTATTTTCAGCTACGAAATTTGATACAAGTCAAGGAAAAGACGACGATAAGTCATAAAGTTTTCACGAAAATAAAGACTTCGTAAAAACTAAATTAAATGAAAATAAAAACTTTTTCATTTAATTTAGTTTTTACGAAGGTTTATGCAAAGGCGATGACTTTATTCCCCAATACTAAGACAAGAAAATAAATTGCTGTTTTAATTATTAAATATATTGTTTGAGATTTTAAACATAAAATTTTAATGTGAAAAAAGTTCTTTCTTGACTTATTCTAAACTGATTATACTGAGTCAATGCTCGCCTTTTATTACGTTGAAATTATTCAATTGCATAATTTTGTTATTACGAAAGAAGTTAAAAAAATAATTGCATTGCTTCTGTTGTCATTGTTACAAAAACAGATCCTTCGGGACATTATTATATATCAACACTCGTTCACAATGTCAATTAATGATTGCAAAATAAGCAACTCAATCGTTTGACAATAAAATTTTCTTTCATTTAAAAAAAAAACAAATATATTTTACTAATAAATAGCAATCGTTTTCGTGTTTTCTTGCATATCAATACATTCAAACATTTAAATCAATACATTTAAACATTTAAATGTATTTACGAAACATTTAAAAATTGTTTATAGTTCTATCGTAAATTTTAAAGTATTACTGACTGATAAAAGTCATTGATAAAAAAATTTTACATTAAAAGGTTTTTTTATTTTCTTTAAACATTATTCTTTTTCTTTTTGATTTGATTTTTCTTATTGATTTGATTTTTCATAGCTAAAATAACTACCACCCTAAAAAAATAAATAAATAAAATATAGGTAAACTTTTTTTAATTTTAAAGCACTAACAGATTTCTGTTTTTAAGGTTGCTTGCATTTTAGCGGTATTTTCGTTTAGCTATGTTTTGGCACGAATTCTTGAAACGCATAATAATAAAACGTGGTCAGTCAGTCAGAAAAATTTATTCTATGCGTGGACAAACAAGGTGTGCGACCGCACGCCTTTCATGGGAAAGCCTGATATATATATATATATATATATATATATATATATATATATATATATATATATATATATATATATATATATATACACTTGCATTTGCAAAAATTTTTATATATAAAATAATAAAGAAACCCCAGACAACAGAACAACATATATAAAAACATAAAATATAACCTTTAATAAGATCAAGAAGTTTAAGTTTATCTTCTTGATGTTTATTACACTGTTGAGATGTCTGTAATTCTTGCTCTATTTGTGATAGTTGATTCCTTAAAACTTCTAATAACTCACGATCATTTTGCTGCAAGTCCTCAGCAAGTTTTAAACGTGCTTCTGTTGACCGATTTTCTTCTTCAAGATGAGTATAGCGCTGACGTGCTCGTTCTAACTCTTTTGCAAGAGTTTCATGATGGCGATCAGATGAATCAGATACATAAGAAAGTTTATGAATTTCACTTTGTAATGATTTGATTTGTTGTTCCAAGTCTTCAATTCGTATATTTTTACTTTCCAATTCTAACCTACATTTTAATGCTAACATATTTTCATGAGCTCGAACACTTGAAAGTTCCAACTTAAGACCTAGAAGAATATTATGATGCAATATAAAAAATTCTATGGCATATGTATTGCACTGTACAATGTACAATGCAATATTTATAATATTTAAGACAAAAACAATGGATATAATAATTATTATTACTTATTATAATAAAATTTATTTAAAATATAAGTTTTTATGCAATTTTATAAAATAGTAATAAAAATTTATCAGTCAAAATTTTTCAACTATTTTTCTTTCAGGAAAATTTTTTTTTAAGCCAGGATCTAGACAAATGCAATAAAAAAAAAAAAAAAATTATTAAAATAAATTTTTTTGTTGAAAGTGAAGATGTTAAAAAAAAAAAAAATTAAGTAGCTATAATTATGATGTGCATAAGACAATATTTATATATGATCATCCATACCAATGATAATCAAGTTTACCCCACACCTACCAAATTAGAAAAACACATCTAGTATTCTTTGTATGGACTATTAAAAAATGCAACAAAAATCATACTTGATAAGTCATGTTGTATCAATCTAATATTGTAATGATAATTACATAACATACTTTTTTGTATATTGAAAGAGGATTAAAAAGTAGGATATTAGTAAAAAGCAAAAAAAACGATTCTTTAATATATTTTTAAACTAACATTTACAATACAATTCTTTACTATAAACTCCTTCCTCAAGATAAGAAATTTTTTAATGGTAGCATTTGACCATATTGGTAAAATTCATTACCAATTTTTACCTAGCCAAGAAATTAATAATTGTCAGAATGTTATTTTTAGGTTATTCCGATTGTAACTATGATGCTTTATTTATGCATTAAATTAATTAAATATTAAAAAATAATTTGTTTTCATGAGTTAAAATAATATTAAATCTATTAAGAGCAAATTTTTTCTTATAAATAACTTTTTTCTTACATACTTTCGATTTTAAACCAAGAGCTTCTTAGGTTTAAAATCGAAAATTCTATTGATAGAAATCAAAAATAGTTAAACTTGAATACCATTGAAAAAAAAAAAGGTTGAAACTCGTTTAAAAAAAGTCTAAAAGTAATTTTTAAAATGCAGACCTTCCAAATTCAGTGGTTTTATGATGGGTCACAACTATGACATTTGATAAATATCAACATGAAAATTTAAGATAAAGTAGCATAAAACATCTCACTTCCAACAAGGCTACAAGCAACCACTATTAGAGTTGGAAGCTACTGAAAGAAAAATATGAAGTTTATAGAGAAAGATTGACAGACGACTTAAAAGATTTAAAAATTATATAAATCAGGAAAACAAGATAAAGGGAGCAAATTCCGAAGAACTGATGTTCAAGGAAAGGAATTTTTGGAGCACATAGGAACAGTAAAAGGATGAGAGTTAATTGAATGACGAGTAACATGAGAACAAATTTTAGTAGATGGCACAAGAGACTCTAACTCATTAGACCAGTGCCCATTATAGTATTCATATAAAAGAGAAAGAGTAGCAACATTATAACGATGTGATAATGATACAATAGAAGGTCTGACTATATCTACAATGCGTTTTTGCACCTAACCTAAAAAAGAAAGGGCATCATTGAAAGATCCGCTCCAGATATGGCAACAGTATTCCATACAAGGACCAAATTGAGATTTATAGAGATAAAAAATAGAGTCCAGAGTAAGAAAGTGTCGAGCACAATAAAGAGATGCAACTTTCACAGATGCTAATTTTGTAAAGATTCTCCTGAAGTCATGAGAGCCTAACTTTTGAGATAAAATACAAGATTTTGTGACCTGACAATAGCAGGCTTCGACATTAGAAAAAATCTTTTTACAATGGTTTCTAGAAATAGTAAACAGACACCTGTTTTCTGGAGAACTATTTTTGTAATAGATATGGAAGTAATGGTTTCGATTGGAAATTGCAGCAGCACAATGCAAGGAAAACAATGGAGAAGGGTGAGGCTTGACTTGAAATCATCGAGAAGGAATAAAAGATTCCATGCCAGCTTGAATCCAAGAAGTTAAGTAAGAAACACATTTGTCAGCAGGAAAATAAAAGATTTTTACCCAAGGGCCATCACAAAGAAAAAAAAGTATAAGCATGATAGGGGGATTCTGATGATGAAGAAGAATGAAGTAATAGTTTTAGAAAGATCAAACCATGATCATTAAAAACATCTATTCAAGGTTTAGGCTCATTGGATATTGTTTTTTGAACATTGTTCAATTTACAAAATCTAGTTTTAGGAATACAATAAACTTTTATAAATAATTAATAAACTTAACAAATTAATAAAATTAACAAAGAAAATATAATAAAAAAATTACCCTCAATTTCTCGAATCAAAGATTTTATCTGTCTATCTTTAGCAGCTTCACTAGCTCTGTAAATATCTTGTTGTCCCTCAAGCTCTCGCTCAAGATCCAATATTTTTGAGCGTGAAACTCTACGTTCATCATTCATACGCTTTTTTGTCTCAGGATTAAGATCATCAGCAGGATACTGAATTTCAACATAATCATCTGTGTCATCAGTAACGCTAGGTGCATCATAATCATAATCAGAATAGCCTAAAAATAACATCTATTATTTTTAAATAACTTCTTGGCTAAGTAAAAACAGTTAATAAATTTTACCAATACAGTCAAATAATAGTGGGAAAAAAAATTCCTGTGAAATAATTAAAGTATTTTTTGTAATATTGGAAAAAAAAAAAAGATCTAAACTTTGCACACAACTTCAGGCTTGAACAGGAATGGCGTGCGACCGCACTCTGTAACTGACCATGCTATTATATATTTTTTCTTTACAACTTGACCACAGCTTTTACACATTGGGTGTGTTTTTACACATTTAAATCTTTTATAATAATTTTTAAATTTGTTATGTGAAACGCTTATTAATAAAGTTGTAATGCTCAAAATAAAATTAAATTAAACTGCTTGTTGGCAT